GAATTACTCATCAAGTACTGCAGGTGTACTTATGAACTAAAAAGGAAACATTACAGTCATGAAGAAGCAGAGTGGAGCTATTTTAGGAACACAAAAAGGCCCAAGCGAGCCTGGTATGAGTGTCACGACTCAAGATGGATGGCATAGAGTTTTTTCATATCCATTCTTGCCTCCCTGGGCGAACAGTTTCTTCGGAACTTGAAAATCTTGACGAGCTTTTGTGTGTTTTCATACGCATATTAAAAAAAGCTTTTAAAAAATCTCTGCGCAGTGTAGAAAAAAAAAAATCAGTCTAGACATAAATTCATTCTCCAGTTTTTTTAAAATACAGTGAAAAATCTCTTTACTGCACCTCGCCAAATCGACATTGGAAAAAAGCAATAAAAAAACATACTTGAAGCACTGTTTGCATAACTTAAAAACTAAAAATAGATGTCAGATGCTCAGGTTTTCCCCAAAACCTGGGCCACCCTACCCATAAAGACCTGTAGTAAAAAAAATATACCAACATGGCAGCCCTGCCTAAAAAAGAGCTGAAAGGGTCGTTGGATTTTTTGAATTCTGAAACAAGATACATTGATTTGATTTGGAAGGTTAAATTACAAAAAGGATAACTGTGATGAGAGAAAAAGTTGACCTCGTCAGATTTCCAAAGATAATTTTCAAGTCAAGTGTCTATCTTTGTCACCGTGAGAAGGTGCATCACTAGTTGCTGCTGTGTGCTCTAGAAAATCAAAACCACAGTGGTTCAGAGCAGTTTCTGTTCTTTATCACATTTAAAAAGTGCTGTTTTTCTGAAATTTTGAGTTTTTTTGTCAAATAATCTCCATTAAGAGCTGCTGGACAATGAAAATGTAAGCACTAATCCTTGAAATGTGTAATTGCCTCACCCCCAAAAAAACCAGAATAGATCATTCAGATTAAATATAAAAGTTATTTTACATATGGTCCAATTTATATAAATAAATACAAAGCAATCACTGACAATAACAAAGAAATAGACAATGTTATTTAATAAATTATAGTTTGAAAATGTCTCTCAATTCCACAAAAGTTTGTTGATTAACTCCTGCAGAGTCTTCTTAGTATCTATATTCCATCCACATTCACAGATCCCTGTTTTGGAGTCCTGGTCCATGCGGCTCCTACAGCTTATACATCCCAAAACTCGTCGATTGCTTTCCGTAGTCCACAAGCGAGAGATTTTCCACCCAGATGCCGAGCTGGTTTCCCTTGCTCAGCGTGATCACGTCCTGCAGCGTAACTGTGCACAGCTGAGGGCTCAAACCGTCCTTGTCGCTCAGGCTGCAGTGGGCCTTAGTCACCTCCTTCTCCGCTTCTGTCTCGCTGTTCCTCATCTTGATGCAGCCGGTCAGCGGGGCGATGCTGTGCTTGGAGAAGGTCACCCTGGAGTAGACGAGGTAGTCACCGGGCTCCAGGACAGTCAGCCAGCTTTTGTGAAAGTAGTTGATTCTCTTGCGAACTGAGAGGTCCATTCTCCACTCAAGATAACCAGCTAGAAAAAACAGTAAAAGTTGTTTTTTATTTTTTAATTATAACTGGATTTCTATAAAAAGAAAAAAAGAGAGATTTTTTTTCTTACATTTTTTCTCAATTGTAGCATTTGGCTTTCCAATTAACATGCGTGCAAAAGCTCCGTAGGTTGTTTCTTGTTTTTCTACGGGGGGAAAACCAACTAAAAGTGGAAAAAAACACAAATACATGTCAGGTTTCTTTATCTGATTGACTTTTCCTTCTACACTCAGAACAGCGTCAATCAGTAAAATCAATTTACCTCTTCCTTGTGGTGAGGAATAGGTTGCCTGCAAGAACAAGAGAAAGTTAAACATCAGTGGAACAATAGAGAAATAATTATTCTCAACACTGAAATAAATCTACTTTAGCAAAGTGCTAAATATGAGGCCAAAAACCGCATGCGAGTTGTGACATGTATGCTGCATTTACAGAGGAGGATTTCCTGTGCATCTCACACTAAATTTTGGTGAGACTAAAGATGGTGCAAAACCTGTGAATCTGCATCAGTTTCTGCCTCCCCAGTTAAAGAAAACTCAAGTTTCCAGCTTTAGATTTAAAACAAAACAACTTTTGTACAAACCACGGCGCTACTTACATGTGCAATTTGTCTTTCGTTGTAGTACAGGTATAGAAATCCTCCAACAGACAGAAACAAGTGCAGCGTCACCACACAAACCAGAAATCGCAGAAGTGGCTTGCTGTAGCCTGGCGATGGGAGCTGAGTTGGGATGAGGATGGGCTCGGGCCTGCCGAGCCGCGGGGGCACCGGCGGAGGCACCTGTGGCAGCGCCATGCTGGTCTGGTAGGTGTTGATCATGATGCAGTGGAGCGGCCTGTCGCCCGTGACATCCCATGCGCTTCTGAGCAGATGCTCCCCAAAGCAGACGAGTTTTTCTGCATGTACTTCCTGGAAGCTTTGAGCCCTTCAGATCTGTGAGAGCTGTGACCTTTGTGGAGGACGTAAGTGTGCCGTGTGAAATACATCATAGCATCTCTTCCTTCCTTTATGGCAGGTATGTTTCACTTGGTTCCATTGATTGCAGTGTTTTTCTGCACTACTAAATAAAACCCAACCCTCACAAAGAAGCTTGTAAATAGATTGTGACGTGGTTTCTGATGCAGACAGCATACTCAAACTGGATTCTTCAGTTGGATTTACGAGCTTATGGCCTTTCTATGTACTTGATGAGTTATTTTATTTCGAAGACTTTAAAAAACTATGCACTGATTGCATCACACTAAGTCTCACAATATATTTAACCAACAAAGACATATGTGTCAAATCCAACACCCAGTTTGCTTTTATGACACTATTTCTGTTTGCAATATATTTTTTTTATTTTTTCGCTTGTTGTTTATTCTCTATCGAGCAAATGTGTGAACAGGCTGAAGATTTTTCATATTTGAGTTTTTCTAAAGATATTTCTTTTGTCACTTAGGTAAAAAGTAAAGAAAAAATTATTTTGTTCTTGAAATAATGATTTATAGTTATATCAGCTTTTTAATGCATCAGAGTTAAACACCACCTCCCACATAGTGACTCCTGGAACAGGATCCAGCTGCCATGAACATGATTAAGAAAGAAGAGCTAATGGATTCACAGAGTGTCAAAATCTAAATGATTTTATTATCAATCCAAATTTTAGGTTTTAAGAAAGAGCTCTCCCAAATTTTTCTGAAATGCTTAAAGTAAAAATAATGACTCGAGCACACAGCCCTGTGGTACTCCATTCCAACTTGTGGTTTGATTTGTCTGTGTCAATAACAAACAGGCCCACAGCATGACAGATCCTCTACCATTCTCATTAACATTTGTTAATCAGTCCGGATGAGGAGAAAACTCACAGAGATTTATGAAGGAGGCTTCTTCTTATTCTAGATTCCCACATGCAGCAGGGTTATCCATGTCAAGGAGTTTCACTACTTCACCACAGCACCTTGGTTGTGGTAGCAAAAGTTGAGCTAAAGTGAAACATTTTAATGCAACACTGTTTCACTGCTGAATGCACCGAGAACTGCATTCTCAGTTTGTGCAGCTGCGGTGTTGCTACAGGATGATTCAAGCTGACTGGAGTTACTGAGCTGGTTCTCCGTCTTTTCTTTTCGCCATAAAATTCTCTCCATATCGCTAAAACAAATAAAACTTATTCAAAGTTTGAATAAGTTTGGTTGAAACATCTAAAGTAGCTTTTTTTTCTTTTTTTTTCAAACGTAAATTTATTTTTTTCCCAGTCAAAAATAAAATGATTGTACTGATTGAACTGCAATGTACTCTTGCCATTTTCTACATTATATTGCATTATATACACTTATTTGTTTTTTTTCTTTTAGGCAGATAATATTTGTTGTAGATTTAATGAGATTCTATCACCTAACTATCATCAATTGTTTTTAATACCTTGTTCTTTTGCAACAACAGCTGCATAAAATGTCTTTATCACAGAACGAGTAGAAACCAAGCTGTGTGATAAACCTGCATCTCTGATCAGATATAATGTCAGTGATACAGTGAAAAAAGAAACACATGCATAATGTTTGCACTCTAAGTTTTCTGCACACGTTTGTTTAATTATAGCAACACATGAACCTTAGGCAGAGAGCTGGTGCTGAACTCAGCGCTGATGAGTTGCGGAGTTTCACAGCTTCCCCTGGTGGTTCATAACGTTCTTAACTCCAGCTCTGCACCTGCAGAGAACAAACTGAATATTAAGCTTTGAAAATGTGTCAAACTCGAGGGCTGGGGGCCAAATGTGGCCCGCCACAGCTTTTTATAAGGCCCCATAGGGATGATGGATGTCACTTCTGTCAATCAAAGCAAATCTGTTCTCATCTGTATTCTGCTACATTACAGCAACGTGAAACAATGTTCAGTATTATTTAACATTAAGAAGTACTTATCAAATGCAGAGATATTGATTTATTAATATTTTAACAATCTGTTAATGAGTTTTATCAATACTTTTTGGCACAACTGGCCATTTGAGAATATGAGTTTGACAGCCCTGACTCCATTAATCAACATTTATTTATTTACTTTTACTTTGTTGTTGTGAACCGGATCATTTTGGTCCCGTTGTTGTTCTAACTTTGACTCTCTTAATACAATTTATTCAGATTGGCTTTTAATTAGTTTTATTTTGTTTTGTGCTCCATTTATTCTCTTTTATTTCTCCTTCTGTGTTTTTATGTGTTACGTTTTGTAAAGCATTTTGTGGTTTTTGACCTGTAAAGTGTGCTATATAAATAAAATTTACTTATTTACTTACCTGATCAAACAGGTAAGCCCTCTTTTCGTTTGGCCAAATATTTATGTGAAGCAAAATATATTTATGGAAGGTGAAATATTTGTTTTTTTAAATAAGAAGCCAGAGGTTAATAGAAGGAACGATTGGAAAAATTAATTTATATTTTCTTATAAGAGCTTCTTATGTAACAATATTTTTATGGAGAAGCCGTTTGTTCAAGAGAATCTTCAATGTAATAATTACCAGAAAATACATAAAATGTTAATCAATGTCTAAAAGCGACAAAAACGAACACCCAAAAGGAAGCGACCACTGACGAATGTGATTGTGAAGCTTTCATGGTGTGTAATGGACAAACAGGATGTTTCTATCGCTGCGGCAGCTGCAGGGAGCGGCGGTTCTGCTGCAGAGGAACTGAGGCTGCGAAGGGCTGGAGGAGGCTGGTTTCCGACCATCAAAGGCATCCGACTGATGATTTCTTGGAGCTGGCTGCTCCTCTCCATGAACAGACTGTGGTTCCCCGCTGCACTTTATGAAGGCTACGAAGCACCTGTAAAACTGTGTGAAATACAGAATAAACCTCAAACATTAGCGCGCCTAAACTGGAACATTTACATTTCTTTTGCATATTTTGACATAAAACAATATACTAATTTATACTTTTTAAACCAGCACTTTATAGTTTGCGTTAATGCATCCAGACTTTACACTGAAATCATGCAAAGTGGTGTTAATGAACAGCTTTTCAGCCTTTCTGCAGTTTTCTTTTTCACTCATTTTCTACACGAAAACTTGGATTTGAAAGATGCATAATTCTTCAATTGACCAGATTTTTCAGGAAAAGGTTTTGTAAAATACAATTTAATAAAATTCTGCTTTTGTGATTAATTACTTAATTCACTTAATTTGATTTTAAAAAGGCTTTGGCTATGTTTTCTGTTATGAATCAACACAATACTTAAGTTTAGGAGCCTTATGGTGCCTACATGATCAGTAGAGTTAATGCATAACATATTATCAAAAACTTGACATCTTCAGTGAAGGTAGTTTTATTTATTTTGAATGACTTGTTTAATTTTCCAAGCAGATGAAAACATTAAAAAGTAAGCTGGTATATTCTGGCATTTTTGATAAAATTACCATGATTTTTTTTTATACCTTGCCTTGAAAAAGAATATTCTAATTTTCCACATTTCAGCATATTAGAATCTGAGGAAAATTATACCTAGCTTATGATTATTTTATACAAAAAAATATGTTTATTTAAGCCATGTAGTTGACAGGCACTTAAATGTTTACATTAAAAATGATACATGTCAAAATAACTATCCACCTCAACACACCTAATCAATCTCTATGTGCTCTGATCAGCGCAGACTGAAAGATGGACAGATCTGAACTCAGGATAAACGAAAACATTTTACAGACTGGAAAAGACTGGGGCGAAGGTTTAGTGGGATAACAACCCTGAACATTCAGCCAGAGCTGCAACATAATGGTTCAGTCAAAGTCCAGACCTAAATCCAATTCAGATTCTGCAGCAACATTGATAGTCAGGATTGCTCTCCATCCAATCCAACCAATCCTGTGTGTTTTTACAAACAAGAATGAGTAAAGATGTCAGATTTGAATGTGCTGGTAGAAATATAAACCAAAAAACCTGCAGCTGTGATTTCAGCTAAAGGTTTGTTAGATTCTCATGCAGCGTGCTTTAAAATAATTTTCCTTCTGTGTAACGACTACTAATTTGTTGCTTTGGTCTATCATAAAATCCCAATGAAATGCAATAACTCATGTTTGCAGCTCCACAAAATCTGAACATTTTCAAAAGGTCTAGGAGCGGAGATAATAAATGATGATACCATTTTATCTCTGTAAGCTGCTGTCTTAATCCTGGTGATACTTTTTTTCTGTCTTGCAAGTGAGGTGAGTTATCATCATTTTAAAGGGACAGTATTATGTATGTATTAAGTCACATTGTAAACATACCTTGAGTGTTACTTTGATTCATTCAGCTGGGTGGACCAAGCCCCGCCTTCGAGGCGCAGCCCCTCCTCACAGCTGAAGTTTCTAAGATTCTGAGCTCAACTCCTTCAGACTAGCCTGCAGCAATTAGCGAACATCTGGTGGAACTGCACAATATGTGAGCTATTTCTCAGCACAACGCTGGTAAAAAACGTTGTTAAAGTGTTCATAGAGGAGCCATGTTGTGATGACTTCCTGAAGCCAGGTTTCAGAGGTTTTAAAGAGACAGACACCCAATTTCAAGTCATTGAAATAAGCTGATAACTGAAGTTAACATAGTTACTTGATTGTGCTACAAAACGGGCCCAAACACATAATAACACCCCTTTAAAGTTTTCCTCTCCAGAAAAACCACTGCACTTCATTCTTCCTGAGGTCTGACCTGGTTGTTAAAGAACACGTAGATAATGGGGTTGACCACCGTGCTGAACTTGGCCAAGATGGACGGCACCACGCTGGCCAGGGGAGTGACCAGCCCCGACCGGCCGAAGGTGGCCATCAGCGCCGTGACTCCATAGGGCATCCAGCACACCATGTAGCAGGACACCATGGACAGCACCATGAGCAGAATGTGTTGCTCTCTGCGCTGTGCGGCCAGCAGGTTGACCTTACCCACCTGGATAACAGAGTCACAGACACAGAAGGCAAAAATGATCGAATTTTATCATTTTAAAAGCATAATCTAATATTCCTCAAACAGGTATAAGCTGAAATCAGTGAGTTTTGTTTTTACTGAACTATTTTTGTGCATAATAAAGTTAAGTTTTTAATATTTTCCTTCAATGTCTCGTAGATTTTGACATTTCTTCTGGATTTTTCATTGATTAATAATGTGCAAATTTAAAGTCACCCATCTACAGAGTCTATTCATTTACTGCCATCCAGTGGTAGAGTGAAGAAAAACACAGCATCTTAATTGCGCCTTTCAGTCAGGACTTCTTGCAGATTTCACTCTGCATTCCTGCAGAACAAAGGAAAGCCCAAAGGCTCAAAACAAATTAGCTTTTTTTCTTGTCAATATTTAAACCTAAACTCATTACAATGCTTCATCATCCAGCTGTTGACCGGCTGTATCCACCTGTCATATTTCTTTTATAAATAATACAAGTAAGGAATATATGTTTATTTATACCGTGGAATTAATATGTTTTAGAAATAACTTTAGAGAAAGCTACTGAATAAAACATCTACACCAATCCCCCTCGTTTCTGGGTTTTTCAGAAAGAAAGACATCTATCAAATATTTTGCTGAGATCAATTTTCAGGTCAATCAGCAGGAGGTTGGAGGAGAGCAGAGAGGAGGCAGGGATTGGTCAAAATGAGGTCCCACGTGATTGCTTCTGCAATTTATTGTAAAAATCAAATGTCAAGATGAATGAAAGGAGAGAAAACAGCACTGACAATGATCCCTCGTTCATAAAATGAAATAGGTTTTTAATTTCTGTCAAACTACAATCCAATAAGGTTGTAAACGTTTAACTCTTGATTGCTGTGCATACATATCAAGTTCTCCTTTTTTGACATCTAGCTCTGACATTTTCTAATTAAATTGCAAATCCTGACAAAAGACATAAAAAAGATTTTAAAATGACACACTTCCTTCCTTATCATCCTTTTTCCTCGTCCAAGTGTTGAGATAAATTTGGTTTTCATTAGTCGCACTTGCAGTTGTTTTAGACATTTTGATTAGCAAGTTTAGGCCAGTAGCTATTTTCTTGTAACTGTGTCCTCACTTATAAAACTTTTATGACGGTCTTATGAAAGGCTTGGAGAAATTAGAATTGAAGAAATTGTTTGAAAATATTTGTTTTTGCTTACATTTATTTTTTAAGGAAGGTTTTTTTTTTATTATTTAGTGCAAAACCAGTTATTTTTTTTCTCCACTGAACAAATGAATTTAATTAAAGGCAGGGTTGTTCTGAATTGTTGTTCTGAGATTATGCTAATGCAATTAAAAAGTAGTTTTTACTTTGAACAGATTTGCTGATTCTTGTAGCTCAGATTAAAGCCAAAAGACATTTTATTGCTATAGACCATGGGAGTCAAACTCATTTTAATTTTGCCAAGATTATGAATGTTCTTAAAGGGCCGGTTGTGCCCAGAACGTACTGATGTGACCCATTAACAAACTGTTAGGATATTGATAAACAGCTGTGTTTGCATCTGATTAGTATTTCTTAAAGCTAAATAATACTGAACATGTTTTGAAACTGATCAGTCCCTCCAGAATTTTGTGATTTTCTTTTTCAATCAAAATCACTGATTTGTGGAGCTAATTTAGAAATATTTGCAAGATAATTTTTTAAATATTTATATATTTGTATAATATTTATAATATATAACAATGTATAACAAATACATATCACAGATATGACTCTTATTTGCTAACAAACTATTATTTTACATCAAATAAAGCCTGGGAACCAGTGTAGACGGAGTAAGAAATACTGCCACCTGCAGGTGGGAGGTAGCATCACACAACATAAACAATTTGTTGGAACATTTTCAGTAAATGGTAAATGGACTGAACTTATATAGCGCTTTTCCAGTCATTTTGACTACTCAAAGCGCTTTACACTAGAGCCACATTCACCCATTCGCACACACATTCATGCACCGATATGCAGAGGCAATTTGGGGTTAAGTGCCTTGCCCAGAGGCACATCGACATGTGGCAGGAGGAAGCTGGAATCGAACCTACAACCTACAAACTCACAATTAAGCATTATCACAAAAAAATGCAGGAATCTGATGATTTTCCATGATAGTAAAATCTCAGAAAAACTAGAGAGGCTAATGCAAGTTGGAGTTATACAAATTTGACACATGAGCTTTAGATTATTTGCCTCAAGGTTTTTCATTCAGTCCTGATATTACAGATACAATTAAACTTTATGTCTCAGATATGAGAATTCAAAGCTCCAGTGTGAGTGCAATCTAAATGTGGTGGGGGATTCCTGCTGGTTGAAATCATCTTTATGGGACTGAAACATCCTCGTTCATCTGTTTCTAAGAAATGCTGCTGGCTTCGTTCGCTGCTGATCATGAGGTGAACATTTCAGGACCATTTCTCTGCTCTGACTCCTCTGGGAGCATGGACTTTCAAAAAAAAACAAAAAAAAAACATGCTTATATAACGCTGGGTATCCAATGGTAACACGTAGCTCACAGGCTCTAAAAATACCTTCTGGGTGATTCATTCATAGCAGTAGTGGAAGCAAAGAGCAACTGGGAGCCTTTAATTACCAATTTAGATATGATTGACAGGTTTATAGGAAACTCAATAAAGCCTGGCTCGCGTTATGGGAATCTAAGAGGATCACTGCAAAGAGCAAAGCCGCAGCCCCTAAATAAAACCTAGTCCTGCTGGACGAATTGATTCACAGATTGTAAACACACTCCAGCGGATTCTGGGATGTTTTGGCTTGATAACGACGGTTCTGACAGCTGCAGCTCAAACTCAGACACCCATTTCTGAATCTCAAATGTACCCTGGCAGGAAAAAGCACCTACAGAACCCAGGTTCAATGGAGCCTTTAGAGCTTTTAAGCTGAGTAGACGGACAACAACAAAAGCATTTTAACAAAATTATTCTCAAGAAAACTGCAGCTCTGGTTTGTGCCGTGCAGATGCAATTGCAAATTAGCATTTTTCAGTTCAGGAAAATGTTAAAGGCTTTTAGGCCTTCATATAATATGCAATTATGCTGCTTGCTGATAGGCAGAAGGCATAATTGAAAAAGTTATGTTCAGACTATAATTAGGAAATGACATCTGAATGTAGAGAGTCAAATTCTGCAACAAAACCCTGAGTGAAAGCTGCTCAAAGGTTTTCTATACACGACATCCCAGTTTTTCTGCAGAAAACTGAGCAGACGGTGATTTAAAGTGTTATTATTATCTCCACCAACACATGGATGTAGTAAATTCAATTAGATTTAATATGAAAAATATGTTTATGTGAGTGTGATGTTAACATATGAGACACCATCGTTTCCAACTTGCAAACGGTTTTGACAAAACTCAACATTTCAATTTTTTTTTCTAGAAAATCTCTGAGATTAATCTCAATATTTCTGAGTCTTTTTAAAATAAATTTTTGAGTTTTCAAACTCAATAATTTCCTTGTTTTTTTCTAGGAGATTTCTGATAATAATCTAAACAATTCAGATTTTTTTAAAGCAAATTGTTGACTTTTCAAACTTACTTTAGTTTTTTTTCTAGAACATTTCTGAGATTAATTTCAAATTGTTTTTTTCTAGTGATTTTTTTACTTTTTAAACTCAATTTTTTTTTCTAGCAGATTTCTGAGAAGAACCTCAAAATTTCAGAGTTTTTTCTTTTTTTAGCAGATTGCCATTTTCAAGATTAGACATTTTCCAGTTTTTTTCTGGAAAATTTCTGAGACTTTTTTGGGGGGTGGAAATTTACTCCTCTTTGTTTTCCTTCTGTCTACAATTGCCCAAATACTCTGTCATCTTACCCAATCTTACCCAATAGAAACCTTGACTACTTTTTGTGCTCACCCTCCTTATAGCAAACAGGATTCGTCCATAAGAGTAAACCATGAGCATCAGCGGCAGCAGCAAGCAGAAGATGAAGAGACACAGCACATAGGATACGCTGGTGGGTGAGCGCAGGTGCCACTGGACAGAGCAAGTGGTTCCGGGCCCTTCGGGACCGTAGCTGCTCCAACCCAGGAAGGGCGGTAGCGTCCAGAGGAGCGAGTAGAACCAGGTGCCTCCGATGAAGAGCCAGGCCTTCCTGAAGTCTGAGACGTCCGCTTTAGAGGAACGCAGCACAGTGTTGTAGCGCTCGTAGGAAAGGACTGACAGGGACACCAGAGACACGATGCCTCGTGGAGAGAGGAAGAGTGGAAACGTAATCATAAAGGCAGCATACGTATGATTTTATTATTTCACTTCGATGTTAAATGATGAATGTCAAAGTTCATTCAGACAAATAGAAAAAAAGAAAATGTTTGAGGTGCCAGGACGACAAATCATCTCTCAAAACTGACTTAACTTGGCAAAGATGTGAATGATCTACAAGCCCTCAAAGATTTATTTTTCTCATATAAATGAGAGGAAAATGAATCCAAACAGATAAATCTATAGCAGACTGACTGTTTGACTGTGTTGCAATGTGATTTATGACTAAAATGCTGCAACTGGACTTTAAAAGAGCCATAAAAATGAGGTTTTTCACTTATCACTTTTACAACTTGGCCTCATCTTTATTTAATGAATCATTCTGATTTTTTGCATTTCAGACTAATTTGAAATATAACATTTTTAATTACAACTATATCCTGACAGGTTGAAATCTGAAACTTTATTTTTTTTCATGAGAGTATTATAGTATGACTGGATAAATGGATGAAGCTCAGTTCATGAAATAGTTTTTGTCTCAATCACTATAAAATTCCCTGGATTGATCATAATTTGTAAGTGTTCTGTGGGTTTATTACCAAAAACTCAATTAGCTGCTTAACTCTTCACAATTTAAAGATGATTGTGATATAAAAGTTTACTTATTTATTACAGTTATGTTTTTACAGTTATTTTAATACAAATTCTAATTTCTAAATATTGAAAATAAAATTATATATCAGAATCAGATCCGACTCCAGAGTAATTTAACTGGGAGGACACACAGTAAACAAGTTTTTTATTTAATTTAAATACATAAACATTTATGTAACCCTTCAAATAAGAGAATAAAGGCCTCAAAACATTCAGTTGTGTAATTAATGTAAATAACGTGTTTTACTGAAATAAATAAACTTTTTAAAAATATTAAACATTATATTAAATATTACTTAAATATTTAATATAATATGAAATATCTTACAAATCATTGAAGTTATTTGTATTGAATCCAGAATTTTTACTTGAGTAAGAGTAACAATAGTTGATAATAAGAAAAAAACAAAAGTTTTACAGTGCAGTAAAATCACTCCTGAAAGAAACATGAACCGCCAGGCCATGTTGCATTCAAAGGCGGCTCGGAAGAACAAGTTATGACATGTCAACAACAGAGTTGGCTGAAAGAAAATGTGCAGGAACTGAGAGTATGGATACAGGAGGTTTGGGAGGCACTACTCTATCAAATCCAGATGAATAATAGGAAGTTGGCCACTCCAAGGTCAAAACAAAACAAACAGCTTCCAGTGCAGGGCGGGCGCCCAGACATGACTAACAATGTGTTGTCCATCGTGACAAACTTAACCAGGATTAAGACAATTGTCTTACAAACAGCTGTAGAATGTAAGCATTATAAAACATGTTTCTCCCATAATTATGTAAACTGTCGAGACAGATAATCTGTGAAAACAATTACGCTGCTCCACCTCCTCCCAGAGCAAAAAATGCACACCCTGCTCAAAAACAGCCAATCAGACCCAGGAGGAGGGTCTCTGCGCTGTCGATCATGCTCATGTACACGCTGTTCAATGTGGTGATGGTTGAGACACAACTAATCATTACGGGAAAACTGACATTGGTGAACAAGCTAACTAGCCTTAGCATTCATGGCAGGCAAAGTATAACTTTAAAAAAAAGTGCATGGGGAAGTGTGTTTATCAAAGTGGTGGAAACAAAATAATTTTTATTTTAATATTTAATACCCTCAAAATTTAGTTTTCAAAGTGTAAAGTTGATGGTAATTCTGTACTCAGGAACTTTTTAAATAATAGTTAAACTTTCAGTGAACAAACCTAGCAACATATTACTCACCAAAAAGGAAATTATTTAATACCAATAAGGAATTAAATGACAGGAAACATTCCTTGAAATGTCATTTCAAGTACAAAATTGATCATATTTTTTAATTAGACGCTTCTTAACAATAGTTAAACATTTAGCAAATGAGCCTGGCAATGTCAAACAACAACAATAACAACATATAACTCACCAAAGAGGGAATTGGCGAACCCGTACCACTTACAGCCGAACTCTCCAATGAGCCACCTACCGCGCAGACTCGCGGCGAAGCTGAACGGCGTCCCGAAGACGCACACCAGCACGTCGCTCAGGCTGATGTTGAGCAGGATGAGGTTGATCGGCGTCCACAGGCAGCGGAACTTCGCGAAGACCAGCAGCGTCAGGGAGTTGTTGAGGATCCCGGCCACCAGGATGAAGCCGAGGCACACCGCCACCGCCGTGTGGCCGCCCCGGCTCAGCCCATCGCGGCTCTGGGGCGTCGTGGAGTCGCGCAGGGTCGCGTCGCTGCCCAGGCTGGAGCTGTCTGTGGTGCTTAAATTCGAGCCGTGCAAGTAGAGGACCATAGCAGGTGGAGAGGAGGTAAACAGACAGAAGGAAAGTCTTGCACAGCGGCTCCAGACGCTGCAGGCTGGTGTAGGAGAGTTGAATATGACCAGAGCACTTCTTTATACCTGCAGTCCTGAAATGCAAAAACACCCCCACCCCTTTTATTCTGCCGGGCACAAACACTAGTATTTTCCTTCTTTCTTTTGACCCTTTCATTAACTAGTCCAGGTCGTTTTGATCACAAAAGCTTGCATAAATAAATCCCCCAAACTGGAAATGTGTTGCCTTTCAATGTCTTGTGCTTATGTGAGTTAAATTGCCCCTCACAGCAAGTTTCATTGGTTTATATTTTGCTTTTTCATGGCAGATGTGGGTCAGGTTCAGTGAATGTCCAAAATAAAATTCCAATTTCAAAGTGAAAGTGGAGCCATTTACTCCTGCTGCGCCGCCTCAGAAATACAAAGTTTGTTGCCTGATTTTTGCTAAGTTGTGCATTTCTATTTTAGCTTTCTGTCCCAGACTGTGTTTAGCTGAATGAAGCAGATTCAATTCACAGCAAAGAATTCAGTTCCTCACAATTAGACTAACTCATCATGTTGGTTTTTTTTTTTTTCTTCAAGTCTTTTCTCACTGATGGAAAAGTGAGACTTGCTGAAGTGCATTCTTTGTTTTTGGACAAACAGATGAAGTGTTTGAGTTGCCAGTGAACGGGCTTGCATAGAAAAGAAGAGGAAGAGAGAAAACCTAAAGACAGTTACAAAAAAGCATTGCATGTTTTTTGCTCTCTTTTAAAAAATTAGGGTGAAAACATGAGCAGACCTTTTGGTTTCGGTTTTCCTCCAGCCTTGTCAGTGGACACTGCGTCCTGTACGGTGCCATCTTTAGCTCCATTAGTGGACCATGCAACCTTCAGCTCTTCCTCTTGAGGTGTTTAGGTGACTCCTGCAACCTTTGGGTCTCATTCTGGAGCTCTGTCAGTCAGTTCTTTTTTTGTTTTGTTTTTTACGTATTTAGTAGTAGTGTGCAGAAGTTACTGCTTTCCTGCATGACTCTACACATCAAACCTGACATTAGTGTAACTTTCATTAGATCTAAATTCAGTCAGTCTGGACTGACTGAGAAAATCTACCAGCTAAATTTGTATGAATCATTTTGGACTGAATGTTTTCCTCTTTCAGCCCAACAGCAGCCTGAGTATTCCTAAAGCATGTGAACAGGAAGGAAGATCATGTGTCCGGTGCCGTTCCCATGTCCGCCTCCTGCAGAGACAAAGATTGGCTGCTGTTTCTTCTTTGCACCTCCACTAATGAGATTCCCCTCCAGTTCCCACCAGACAGTCACTTCTGCGCCAGATCAACGAAATTCTCCATGAGGGTTTGCATTTCTCATGAGGTCCAACCACATAACCCATGCATGGTTTTATATTTAACAAAGTTTAGTTGAAAATGTAAAACTAATACATCATTCCAGATTATAATATTGAATCTGGGATGATTCATAAAGAAATTTCTTGACATTTTAAAGTTCATCATTTGAGAAAACAAGTCTTTCCAAGGATTAAAGATGGTGGCCATTTTTACAAAAGAAATAAGTTCAAAACAAAATGCTAAAAAATAAATTTGAAAAGTAATCATGCTTTATCTTGATTGCATTTTTATGCCTTATTAAAGTTGTGCATAAACAAATTCATAAATGTCTGGACTGAATACTTTCCCAAGGTTTACAAATGAAAGTAAATTCAAAACAAGATAATTAAAAATAACTTTGAAAAGTTAATCACGCTTCATCTTGATTGCATTTTTCACCTTATTAAAGTTATGCACAAGCAAATGTACAGATGTTTTAGCCAAAGTGTATGTAGAGAGCAATTTAGACATGATAAAGAAGGAAAATATAGATTAATCTTGAACTGTGTAAATTGAAATTTCTCTGCTAAATACCAAGGAAATACCAGTAAAGATTACTATTGTGCAGCCAGTGAATGAGATTTTTTTAGCTGGATTGTTTCTAAAGTGTCGTAAAGGGCATCAGTGTGAGACTTACCAGAAAACCCAGTCGATTACCTGCGCTTGTTAATTATAGAGCTTTAATAGAAACGATAAATCTAAACTTTTCTTCCATGGAAAATGACAAATTACCATATGAAAGGTGAAAAAGCTCTGAAACTGTAGGTGTTACTTTTACTTGGTGCTTATGGCGTCATCCATGTTGGGTAATCAGATAAAAGCTTTAAAAGGTTGTAACATATAAATTTATACTTCCTGCACATGTTTTCAAAATCTACACAACAAAATAAAAATATAAATATTAAAAAGAAATTAAAAATAAAAATATGAATGTTAAAATAAATATATTATGTATCACAGAAATGATATTATTATTACTTATTGCAATTTTAAATTAAGCTTATTTTAAATTTAATATTTTACTGGATAGATGACCATTAAGTCTGTATTTATTATCCAGTCTCTCTTTTTGTCAACCTGTGTTTAATTATTAGTCAAACCTGTAAAAAGACCAGAGGTTTAATCTGACACATCATCTGAAGATTATGTGAATATTAATCATTACTCCACGTATTATTCATTCATATTTACTGTGCTCATAAGAAATCCAGCGAGCAACAAATAAATGGATAAACAAAAGGGAACAAACCGTCCAGTTGCACTGATAAGAATAAAAGAAGGGTTAAAAGAAACAAAGCAATCTTATTGTTGAATGGATCAAGATGGCGGCTCACTAAGGCTTTTTATGAAACCTTGTCTATTCTGATCCTGTCATGTTTTATCTGCATATTTTTCCTCATGCAGTTTCCAATTAGCAGCCTGACACTCAACTTTGCTTCTTTGTGTCTATTGGAAACAACACTTTTTGCTTCAGGAGTCTGATTTCTGTTTTTTAAAAAACTTGGATGATTGGATGAAATTAGTTTTTTAAATATGAACCAGAACTACGTCCAAATGATCACAAACACATTTTAGATAGAGCTGTGTTTAGATAGTGTCACATAACTCTCTTCTTTTTGTTTATGATGTTACGCAACGCTCTTTTTACTGTCTCTTCCCCAACCGGGCACTCTGGACCTAAATCACTTTTTTATTGACCAATTAGAGCAACTTTAAGAGCTGTGAAATCTTTCATAGTCAACATCCTATTGCTTGGAAGTTTAAATCACTTGACAATGTAATCTGAGAGATGTGATGTAAACACTGTCGGCACAGATTACTGAGATCTCTGGAGATGGGAGGCGACATTCGATGTACATTTGCTGGAAGATAACTGCCTTAGATGGTCAAAAGGATGAAGAAATGAGGCCTGGGATGGGAAATAAGTAGCTACTCGCAAACATAAATATCTTTTTTCTGACATGAATTGCTCAGTAACTGTTAAGTCTGTTTTATAGATTACTTGAAATAAAAATAAAATATGGTTTAATTAGGACAAATGTAGTCAACAATGTGACTTATTTAAGGATTTGAAAGCCAATAGAAGTCATTTTTTTGTGTGTGAATTTCTATTTATTTCGTAAAGGAGACGGTCAACATGAATACATTGTATAGATACGTCAAATTTAGCCAAAGAAGCAGATTTTCATCTGTCATCCATTAATAGGATTAAAAGAATTACAATTAATATACAGTAATATAATGTTTTCGTCTGTAACTCTGTATTTTTACAACAGTTATACATGACATTTTATTTATGATATATTTCAATCTGCAGCTAAAAGTAGTGTAATTTACTTTAAACATCTTTAATAAAAAATAAAAACAAGATATATTCATAAAAAAAAACATGCACTCTTGTTCATTTATGAGTATAAAGTGTGTATAAACGTATAAAAACATTTATTGTGATCAGGACATTTTCCCCAAGCTTTAAAATAAACATTTGGTTTAATAAAACACAAAAGTCATATCAATGTAACGCACTTCCATCTCAGGATGCAAAACACGCCGCTAAGCATTCTGGGAAATAGTTCCCTCTCCTGCCTTTTTCTTCTTTCAGTTTTTTTTTTAAGTGCCAACCTAAAATACTCTAGATTTTTTCAACTCTTGGTGGTTTGACAAAATCTTCCACAAACTCACACATTTAGGTTCAAAATCTAAAACTCAACAAATTTATTTGACTTAAAAAGTAGATTGTAGACTCAACTAAACGTGGCGCAAGTGATGTCCTAAAACATTTCAATGATGCAATATATTTTTTGTTGAATGCATTCCGACATTCCGAAGCCTGATTTTTAAAAATGACATAACGTCCTCTTTCTTTTGGTTGTATCATCTGCAAAGTGTCCATTATGGATGTGACTCTGCAGCCTTCCTGCTCCAGCTGGAACCTCAGAGCCGCCATTTTGCAACCCATCTGTGGTTCGCACAGCAGCGGATGGATAGAAGCTAATAATAGCACAGCACCATCATTAATCCAACCTCATCTTGTGGGGAAAGCTACTCCTCCATCTGCGACTATGAATAAAGCTTCGACAGTGAAATGTGGATACTGACGTCTCTGGGCATGTGGGGAAAATAGTTGGCGAGCTGAGAATGAGGCTGCAGCACTGATGACATCACATGTTGAATGTAAACAATGACCTCTTCATTTTGGACGCACGAGATTTACTTATATTTGATCCTTTTATTGCAAAGAAATAAAAGTTTTTATCTGGATGAACATAGAGTCATTAAAAGTCAGACATGGTGTTACAATTATTCAAGTACATTTACTGGAGTAAAATGTACTTTTTACTTTTACTTGAGTAATTTGATTATGAAGTATTTGTACTCTTACAGGTGTAAAATTCCTGGATTTTCTACCCACTGAATGACAGACAAACACGTTTTAACCAAAAATTCACCAACTACGGACACATCTGGAGTTTCTGTTAAAGTTTTTTGTTGAAAGAAAAATTTTCTTTATATATTTTATATCATTTTCATTTTCATCCTTGAAATTTCCACTTAACTTTATATTTTGGTCTGTCTGATTATGTAATCTTTAAATATTAAATGATTGATAATTTGATAATTTATTCAGTACTTGAGTAGATTTTTTTACCAAATACTTCTTGATTAATTT